GAAATAAGAGACAACATTTCAGTTTGTGTCCAAATCTTCATGAATCTGTAAACTTTTCTTCCAGATATTGTCTTCTGCAGCTGTTTCAAACCTTGTTGTGTTTCTGTTTCTCTCAGGTGGAGGAGATGAAAGAGATTGGAGTGTTTCTCAGTAGTTTGGTTCAGGAGCTGGCTAATCTGCGTGAGGCTCATGGTCAAGGGGTGAGTGCCCTGCAGGCCAAACACAACAAGCTGGAAGTGGACATCCTACAAGCTAAGGAGAGACATCAGCTGGTAAGATGAGGCTGCAGCTCATTGACAGATTGTAGCCATTTCCTGCTGCCATTAGCTTCTTTACTTCTGAACTCATCACAGAGTTTATCTGATTTGATTTTTCATTTTTATTGACCAGTAAAAATAACACCTAAAGTCCAGACATGAAGCTGAAGATCAGACTGGTATKAAACAGGATAGCTTTACAGAGTTTAGAGCAACAAAATGATCTAAGATTTACAGACATTTAACCAAAGTCAAATTATCCAGCAGCTTGTCAGTGTGGATGGACCTGACAAATGCAGTCCTAACACAGGGCTCTAGAGTGCGACCAAATTTCCTAATAGTACGACGGGGAAAAAATGTCCGGTGGCACTGGTGTGACCGATCGTTGGAGGGGGAGCGGTCACCAGCTGAAACTAAAAGTTTACATGTCCCCTAAAACAAATGAATCCAGCTGTATCAACCATAACAGTCGCCCACAGACACAGTCTCCATGTCTGCTAATAACACAGAGCTCTGCTCGCGGGCTCCGCTACACACACACACACACATACGTTTGTTGCTCCATCTTCATGGGGACTTTGCATTGGCTTTCATTCATTTCGCTGTCAATTCTATAGTCAACCATAGCCTCCCAGGTAGGCTACACACCTGACCCAAACCCTCAGCTCACCTGGCTGTGTGTACCAGGGAAATGGTCAATAATTGTACCCATCATGGAGCAAAAACCGGTACACACACCCACACACACGCATGCGCGCACACGCATAGCGAATCAACCATATATTTACTTATTTTTTTACCCAGATCGGAGTCTGAAAAACTTGTTTTTTCATAATTGTGGAGATGAAAATAAGATGTGGATGTTGCTCGCTCTAAAGTCCATCTTGTTAATTTAACAGTCGGGTTCTGAGTGCTGCAGATCATATCAGAAAGACGAGGAAGCTCACGAGTATGGCAGGCCGCTGTTACACTTAATCGGTTTCATCACAGTTACATTCCAAGTTTCTGAAATAGGTTCTTCTGGGTCTCAGGAGGATACAGCTAGACATATTAGATATTTAAGTGAAATAATATACCGTATTTATTAAAATATAATGCGTAAAATTTAATCCATAAAATCATCCATAAAGTTGAGGGGTAATATTATACTCGGATAAATATTTTTACTTATGTATTTTAACTGAAATATCGGCAAAATTATTGAGTCAGGAAATGAGACCGCGTTGGAAAAAGCAGCTGAAACGAGCTCACCTGTGACACTCCTCTGTGCTTTAGAGCGAGATAACAGATCCAAGCAGGCGACATGATGTGAAAACAAGGGGAATCAC